GGAGACTTTTATGCTTAAACAATTATATTTTTTTAGAAAATTTAGAAAATCTCTAAAAATCTAAATATGAGGAAAAAAAAGTATTTTAGTCCTTTCTATCAATAGAGATATTGAAAATAAATGTTAAAAAGAGAAATAATATATTTTTGGAAAATGTATAAAGTATTATAATAATACAGTTATTGCTAAAACTGTTAAAATATAGCACATGTTGGAATTTAACTTTTGATACTAGCATAGTTGTTGACTGGTTGGAAATGCTCTAAGATGTTAATTAGATAAAATCGACCAAATTATTTCGGTTTAGTTGATCTGTTCCAAACCATATAAACGAAAATCTCAATATATTGTTTAACGTCAAAATCAGATCAAATCACACACTATAAATATAAAAAATAAGTCTTAGGGTCCGTTTGGTGTGTAGGATTTGGAATGAAATTTGATTTCATTATTATAAATGATTTATGGAAAAGTTTATAAATAATTATAAAAATAATTAAATTACATTTTTATTAATCAATTATTACAAAACAAATGTTTTTAACATCTTTTAAAACCTTATTGCATACAATCCTACGAAATCCCGAGCACTTCCTAAGAATTTCAAAATCCTATGTTTGAAGGATTTCTATTAAATCATAGGATTGCAAATCCAGACAATCCAACAAACCAAACATGAAATTGGAATGGATTTGAAATACAAATCTCCCCCAAATCCATTCCATTTCTTCAAACCAAACGGGACCTTAATGTATTGTTGATGCATGTAAAGAGAAAATCAACAACGCATTTAAAGGCATCTTAGAGGACATGGAGTTTTGATTATCTATCTTGTTCTTTAAAACAGAGAAATATGGACAAAACTCCAAATATAAGGAATTTTCTATAACTCTCTGTTGAGGAAATATAAATGTTGTTTTTTATATTTTCCATTAATGAAATTTATTTTTAATTTTTTTTACATAAAAAATCTGTTAAAATTAAGATCTATTTTAAAAAAATTATAATTTTTTAATTAAATTAAAGATGGCTAACCAACCCAATATTTAATAAAATATATTTTTAAGAATTAATAAAAAGCCAAACAAGACAGGTAATGAGCTTCCATTCAGGTCGAGTCTCGGGTCCACACCCTTCGTGTTCGTCACCCATCCTCTTCTATAAGTATGGCCCACTGTCCAAACCCATTTTGCTAATTCTCTTTCTACTTTCCAGACGCTTCTCTCTAGTACAAATTTCTTCACTTTTAGTCTCCGATCGGACTTCTCTTCGTCGGATTTTCTACCGTTGCCCGCTGATCTCATTCCCATCTTACCGGGAAGATCTGCTACTTCACCGAAATTTGTAGGTAATCTTATTTAGTTTCGTTTTGCTGTAATTTCTTTAGTCGTTTATAGCTTGTTAGTGTCTGTAAACTTAATTTTGAAAGTGAATATGATTTTGCCGATTGTTTTTTTTCCCTATCATACCGGAGCAGTGAATGCGTTTTGATGTTGTTCGAAAGCATGCTCTTTTCCTTCTTGTTTTATGAAGTCTTTTCTGTGGTTATGTTTGTTCTGTCGCCTGCGATTGTTTTTTATCCATACCGGAGAGGATCAATTTTTTTTATCGAGATGTACGTTATTCATGACAAGTTGTACCTTGACGTTTTTGGATTAATTTAGGCAAATGGAATCTCTCTGTATTTGGCGTTGTTCCCCTTTAGACTTTGAGCTCAAATCAATTATTTTTCATGTTGCTGATTGATCTGGATTTTGCAACACAAGCTAATTTCTAATTGATCTAATTTTTGTAGTCGTCGAGGGTTTGTTCAAAATTTTAAAAAATAGTGACACTTCTGAAATTGAAAGATGGCGTTTTGACTTTATAAGTAAAATTCTCTCTTTTCTTTTAGCCAAAACCAGCTTTGTAAACTCCAGGACCCGCTCGCCATCGTGCCGGTGTCACAACTAAATACAATAAACTAGTTTCTTTCCTTTTTTTTGTCGTAGTTTACTAAATACACTTTTGAGAAGAGGAATTTACCCTTTTAGCTGTAGAAAGGGGAACAAATTTGAAGGGCCCTAATATTTGTAGGACAATATGGCGCAGTTTCAGAACCAAGAACTTGAGTATATGATTGATGATGAATATTATGATATGACCGATTTTGCGGACAGCTCTGTTGAAGACACGGGTAACCAATTGAATAGAAGTTGCGCTGCTGATTCAATGGACTCAGATTTCGAGGACGATTTTGAGCAGGTATCATGCTTTCAGAGTATATACCAATATAAGTACAATAATTTCTTGAAATTCTTGGGTTTCATTTCATGATGTCTTTGGGAACATGGAATATCTGGAAATATACTTTCTAGCTTGTCTAGTTCAATTTTGAACTTTGTCTGGTCCTGTTCCAGTTCCAGTCCATGGGGTTGGAGTTCCCAAGCAATGCTTTAATGTGTTCATTTAAAACTGTTTCTTGAAGTTTTTGGTCTTTTTATAGTATATGCTGCTCACCATTTTGGTGATTGAGGGAGTTTTTTTTAATTTATTAGAGCAAGCCAAAGACGGATACATCAGCAGAGGAAGCTAGAAATGGCAAGGATATACAAGGAATTCCCTGGGAGAGGCTGAATTTTACAAGAGACAAGTACCGTGAAACTAGATTGAGGCAATACAAAAATTATGAGAACCTTCTGCACTCTCGTGAAAATTTAGAGAAGGTATCTTTGATTGAATAATTCAATAAGTTGTTAGAACTTATATTAGAGCTATGTGACCTACATATAGGTCCATGCTGTATTTTTTTCTTGTCTGTAAGCTAATAAATATTAGGAATTAGATGTAGAAGTTGTGGACACTCCAGGGTAAAAATATTTCTAAGTGTCTGCATTCAGAAGGGAATAGATCACTCCTCCTGATCTATCCTTTATGGATGCCCACTTTTTTTGTAAGCGATAAGTTGTGATGCTCACGTTTTGCATCTATCAAACCAAACAAACCCTGTAAATCCCACACGGAGTAGGGTTACATTTTTGGTTGTCTGTGGAAGGTCTTGATGGGTTGCCCCATTGCCATTGCTTTCTTTAAATTAGTGTCTTATTATTATTACTAATGTTCAGTGGTAGCTTACTCTAAGCTTGTGCTTTCTCAAATGATATTGTTGACAGGAGTGCAAACAAGTAGACGAAGGCCATACTCTCTATGATTTTCAATACAATACAAGGCTTGTCAAGCCGACAGTCGTGCATTTTCAGGTATAGGCTTTACTGCTGCTTTGAGTTTATTTTCAGTTAAGGGATCAACTCTAGCCTATTTATCTTCTGTGGAGTGATTTATAGTTTTCGTTTATCTCTGCAGTCCACTAATAAGAAGTGTATGTGGTATTGAAGTACTATCACACTTGTATAGAAGTTTTTTTATCCCTTCATTCTATTTGTGTCACATCATGCATAGACTTGCTTAACTAGATAGAGTTGTCAGCTACTTTTTATACGGTGATGAAGTTTGTTTACTTCTTTTTGTTACTCTTTTTCCCATTCAGCCTTTGCTTCTCATTCTTTTTATTTTTTATGTTTCACATCTAATTTGTTGTCAAAGGTAAATTCAGATGAAATGTGTCTAACTTGGGTCACTTTGACACTTGTCTTATGTTGGAGTGTACAGTCGTGATGGTTTTACTTGTACACGGACTTGCACAATAAATTCTTCTAACATTAGATACTTCATGGAAACTTACCGTTTCTATAGTAGTCACCACTGGCCATGCAGTTGTTAAAATTTATTTTAACTTCGACAGAGAAGAGCTTGATTTTGGACTTCTTTTTCAATGTATCGTTTTAGCCCGGCTCAAATGAGCCGGGTCCTGTATTTACTGAAATCCTTCTTGTGCAGATTAAGATAAGTGCCCTTATGTCATGAGAGTTTTAAATAAAATCACGAGATCTATGTTTCGAAGGTGCAATCCTGAAATTGCGCAAGTTGGTTCCCAACAGCTGACCATTTCTTATGCTATGTTGTGGACATGGAAGCATTGGGGAGGTATAACTTGGCTTTCTGAGATGCATTTGTTTAAGTCATGGGTGTGTTGATGATTCGCTTCTGTAATGCTCAAGTTTTGTCATTTTATTTTACTATCTGCTAACAAAGATTTGGATGCAGATATGGACCCTGAGGGTGTTATATCTTGTTAACAGTTGTAGGTTGTTTTCTCACATGGTGTTATCATAATGCTCACAGCATTAATTCAATCTCGTTTCAAACTGGATGATCTTATTTAGTCAATTACTTGGAAATGATTATGTGAAACTTTTCGATTAAAATTCTGATTTAACAGATTCGAAACGGGATACAGCCTCGTTTGTCACTAGGCTGTCAAATGTGGTTTATAAAAGCAACATCAATTGTAACAATTCCTCCTCTCCCTGCCAAAAAGAGCAAATGAGGAAATAAAGATAAATAGTTAGTGGACTTGGTAGACCGAAGAACTATGTAGAACTGTAGATAATTTGACATTGTTGAAAATGCACATAAACATCACTCTTCTCATGTTTGAGGTTCTTTCTTCATCAGCAAAGTGTGTTGTTTTGTCATGCTATTCTAGTGTCACAGCTGTGTCACAGACAGTATGAGTGCTGACAAGGAGATTGGATATATATTTTTTCCTGAGTCTGTTGTTAGTGAAGTTGCCTTGTTATCTTGGTGGCCTGATTAATTGCCTCATCGGCTTTTCAACTGTAACGTTGGTAGAATGGGAATATAAACCACTTCATATATAGAGGTGTGTACTAGCCTTTACTGTTTGCTTTTGCCTAATCCTACATGGGTTGGTTTAGTTTTGTAATAGGCTTCTGTTTTTGGCTATTTTTATGGTTATGTTTTAACAATGCATATTCTGGGACAGCTACATCATTTTTGTTTCAGCCATAGAAGCAAGGTGCCATTTATATCAAGCAGCATGTGGATAAGGACGCTCTTAATATGGTATGATAGGGACATATTCTAACGTTTATGAAAAAATTGTCTCAAGTAGACACTTTTTTCACGTTTTAGTGGTTGGTTGGGGAGCCGACATCTATGTTCTAGTTCTTCGATCAATTTGAAATTTAGTTTACACTCGTGTGTACTGTTTAGTTGGATTCTTGGATAAAGTGCTTCCCATGTTTATATGTTATACCGTTATAATTCTTTTTGTGCTACATGTTTTAGCATATTTGTGCTTAGATGATTCTTTTACAGGGTTGTAGTCCAAAATATCTGCAGCTTGATTAGTTGGTTATCCTTTTTCTTTGCTTGTGAGAATTTACTGGAATTCATTTTCTTTTATATGGATGCATTATGTATTGATAATTGAAGCCTTGGGTGATCCTTTGGGTCTTGATGATAGCTGATTACAAGAATTCTTTCTCTTTTTTTTTCCGTATTTTTTTTTCATGAGCAACTCTCCCATACAAGCATCCCCCATTTGGCAGAAACAGTGTGTCTATAATTTTTATGTTTTCATCCTTCATTTCTAACATCTACTTTCTAGTTTTTTGCCGGTTCATAAGTTTACTAACATCCCTTTGAGTGATTATTTATCGTGTCTCGTCTTTCTATATGGATTTATTTTTTGACTTGCCCTGAGCTCTTATGCATCTTTTAGGACCCTAATGGATATACCACAGAAAACATGTGGAACTGTTATTTATACATGTATATTACAAAATTAATTTTGTAAATCATGGTTTGTGAGAACAGTGCGTTTCCCCCTTCCATTTTTCGTTTCTTTTTCATTATATTTGTACACAGTAGCCGGTAGCATGATGTGTCCTTTTGTTTCCTTTTAAGTACTACTTTGTGCAATGAAGTCCACAAAGCTAACCTGCATGTTATATGCTTGCCATTTCAGTTATTTCTGCTTGGCTTTATGATTAGAGAAAGAGTCCCTTTTCGCTTTCATCTTCACCACTTATATGTCATATTAACTGACTAAGAAATTGCATAAACAAAAGGCACGAGTATGTGATTTTGCTTTTCGTATTTCAAATTTCTATGTCAAGAGTCCATCTCTTCTTCTTCATTTGTTTCGTCGGTCATTTCAGCTCTGCTAGCCATTACTTGCTTTCTTTTCCACTTGTTATGGAACATTTTATGTTTGTGTAGTTGCATTTGGTTTGTTCCCTCTTTTAGTTTCTCTTGATAGCTTTGTCATTGAAAAAGGGGTGAGGTTATCAAAAGAGAGATTTCATTCACCTTAAACTTTCTCACTAAGGTGTGCTTGTGCATATTGGGGTCAAAATGTTCTCAAGTAAGGTAGACGTTGATTTATATTATCCAAGGACACCAAGGTTTTGTTTGGTACGCGAGACGGGGCTGGACAGGACGGTTTTATTCCACATTTGGCACAACATTAGACTACGACAGGATGGTTTTGTTCCACGTTTGGCGCAAGATAAGATACCAAGGACTGACAGGACCGAGTCTCACCAAAATAGGTGAAACAAAAACCAGGGAGATAGACATGATTAATTACCAAACTACCCATGTCCCATTAAAACCCAATCTTACCACAATTCTTTCAACCCGCCTATCTTGCTCTCACACGTTCAGTTCAGTCCCTTCCGTGTACCAAACGCACCCGAACTGGTTCATAAATCTGCACTACCTCATTTTGGTTTTCGTAGGACGGACATGTGATATCGAACGGCTTTCTCCGGTATGAGGCATTGAGATGTCCATCCTTTGATTTCGTAGTCCTTTTTTAGATTGTCAACGCAAATGTTTGTCATCATTTATATTGGAGATTAGGTACTTTCTTTTGAGATATATGAGCTTAGTTGGGCAAACAAGAGTGTTTTTGTGCATCTACTCGAATACTGTCCAGCTTCACAAGATTCTGTGCTTCCCTCCTCGTGCCTGTGTGCATGTCTAATTGTCTTTTGTTCATTTTTCCAGCTGAGGAATCTTTTATGGGCAACGTCAAAGCATGATCTGTACCTTATGCAGAATTACTCGGTTATGCATTGGTCTTCACTTCTAAGAAGGAGCAAGGAAGTAGTCAACGTTGCTATGCCTGTATTACCTACTTTGGTAAGTGGTGTCTCATCTAGCATTATACTCCCGTCCAAAATAAGTGTCTGCATTTCTGTTTAAGTTTGTCCCAAAATAATTTTCTGCTTTCAAAATAGATGGTTATAATTTACTAAATTACCAACTCACCCTTAATTATGACACATTTAAGAGTTGGTGAGATGGAGAGAAAGAGAAGGTTTGCCTTATCATTAAGGGTAAAATCGTCAATAATTTGAGAAGTATAACAGTTACACATTTTTAAACTGTGTTATATTTTGGGGCGGAGGGAGTATAAACTTTTGTCGTTGAAGTTTCACTCGTCAACTCAAGTAATCTCTTCTCATGGTATGCATGCAGAAATATCCCGGATCTTTTTCTCGTTCACTGTCGCGAGTACAAGTAAGCACTATGGCTGTTAAGGACGGTCTAATTGTTGCCGGTGGTTTTCATGGTGAACTAATCTGCAAGGTATGCCATCTGGAATCCTTTTAGAATATGAGTTCCATTCGCATAACTAGTTTCCATTTTCTAACTAATGTCTCATGTGTAAATAGTATCTGAACAAACCTGGAGTTTCCTTTGCCACTAAAATAGCAACCGATGAAAATGCCATAACTAACTCGGTCGACATATCCTACAGCTCAAGGTTGGTTTAGAGTTCTTTGTAAATTTCATGGCTTTTCAATTTTCATTATGATGGTGTTTGACCGATTGCTTCATGTGCAGTGGGTCAATGAGGATTATGACTGCGAACAATGACGCACTCATAAGGGTGTTTGATGCAAACAGTTTTTCTTGCATTGATAGCTTCTCGTTTCCATGGTCCGTTAACGTGAGTATCTCCTCTCTTAGCCACATGCATTTCGTCCTGAAATGTTAGTTCATCTTCAACAGATTCTCCAAAGTGGAGATTTTGGAGCTTTTAACTTTTTTTCTTGCTTCAACAGATGCTCCAAAACTCTCTCCAAAATGTATAAGATCTCCAATTTGGAGAATTCTCCAAAAATAAAATGATGAAGAGAATTTTTTTACTGTTTTCACCAATGAGGTTGAATGTATTAATCATTTCATATAGAGTTTATCGGGATATATTATATCTATTGAATATTTTAACAATATTATTAATGTTGAAATCTCCAAAATGGAGAAACTGTTGGAGTCCAATGTAACTTTTTTCATAATCTAAACTTTCGGTTCTCCATTTCGGAGAAGTTATAGAGAATATGTTGTGGATTGCTCTTTCTGTTATCGTTCTCATGGCTGTGTTTTGTGTAGGATACATCCGTTAGCCCTGATGGTAAAATGTTGGCCGTCCTTGGAGACAGTACAGAATGCATGCTGGCGGATGCTCAATCTGGGAAAGTACGTTCCACTTTCTGAGCCACATTGTGTTTAGATTCCCATTAAAAATTTCACAAAAGCCATGTTTGGCAATCATAAGCCAAATTATATATTGAGCTTATTGAAATAATCATGTTTACTTTTTAAAATGCTAGCTTTTAAATGCCATATACTGTATATTTTTTTCCAGTTATCCCTCGTATATTTTTTCCAATTAATGTCTTTTTAAGTTATTTTGCATTGTTATCGAAGTTTATCAGCTTGTTTTTACCGAACATGATTAGTTTATCAGGTAGCTTATTAACAAGTGGTTTGCCAAACATAGCCAAAGTCTAGCAATCTTAAATTTGGAAAAACGGTCCTTAAATTTAATGATGAACCCATTTCATATTGCAGGAAATCACTAAAATGACAGGGCATTTAGACTACTCGTTTGCATCAGCATGGCATCCTAACGGACAAATTGTGGCAACTGGGAACCAAGACACAACCTGCAGATTGTGGGATATAAGGAAGGTGTCGGAGTCGTTGGTGGTGCTCAAGGGAAGGATGGGTGCGATCAGAGGCATAAGGTTCAGTGCAGATGGTCGGCACATGGCAATGGCTGAGCCAGCAGACTTTGTTCACATATATGATACAGAAAGTGATTATGGATCAGGGCAGGAGATCGATGTTTTTGGAGAAATAGGTGGAATATCGTTTAGCCCCGATGCTGAAGCTTTGTTTGTTGGCATATCCGATCGGACGTATGGTAGTGTATTGGAGTTCAACCGAAGACATTGTAATAGATACCTGGAGGCGTTATTTTAGTGCCAGTAAGTTTGTGTTGTACATAATATGTTTGTGAATGTTGGTTGGAGACTTGTTTCTTATCTATATTTTGCATTGAACTTGACATGATTGGATGGGAAAGTTGATTTACCGACCCTGCCACAACAGATTTCCCATGCAAGTTTTTTACTCTCGGGAGGTGTTTGGGATTTGCTTATTTGAAACAACTTATGTTTTTCTATAAAAATACTTATCAATTTATTATAAATTAGAAGGGTGTAACTTCTTCAAAAACTCATTATTATCGGTATAAATTGTTTATCCAAACATTCAAAAGTGCTTATTATCGGTGTCATGTCGAAATAAGTCAATAAGTTGTTTTTATAAGCAATCCCAAATACTCCCTCAATTACTAATCTATCCATTGCTTTATTGTTGTATACTAATCTATCCATTGCTTTATTGTTGTATAGAAAAGTAAGCGACCGTTGTCCTACAAAACTTGGATGGTGAAGATGTATACAGTGTTTGCAAGCCAAATATAGGATAGTGGAGATGTATACAGTGTTTGCAAGCCAAGCCAAAAAAAAAGTAAAAAGTTGTTTAGTAGTTGCTGAATGGTTTGATATAAAATGAGCAAGTGATCAGGATGTTTATGATACAATGTAGAATAAAGTATGATTTGACACTGTTTGGAATGAATAATTTGAATGACAACAAATTATCATTTTAAATCATTATTTTAACTATCTATATGATTAGTTCTTAACGTACACCATCTTTTCTCTCACGGCATAACCAGAAAAGAAAGGGTCGAGAAAGCCATTCAAGAGCAGTTCCTTTGCAGTTAAAGTTTCTGTCTTGATAAGTTTTAGAGCAATAGTCATGGTTTTGAACAAAATCAAGGGATTTACATTTTGGAGTTGGGGGTGTTTTGGGATTGCTTATTCGAAACAACTTATGCTTTTTTATAAAAGTCTTTATTAACTTATTATAAGTTAGAATTATTTAACTTCTTCAAAAACTTTTTATTACCAGTTTGACACCAGTATAAGCTGTTTATCCAAACACTCAAAAGTGCTTATTACCGGTGTCACACCGAAATAAGTCAATAAGTTGTCTTTATAAACAATCCCAAACACCCCTTATATGTGGGAATGGAAGACTTGTTATAAGGAGCTTATAATTTTTTTTAATCAATGTGAAATTGGTTGTTATGAACTTTCTCATTTGAATTTTTGACGTTCTTATGATGCCTTCTCATAATTTTCTTGTAACCAACGATGTAATATTCACCTAAATTATTATAAAAATCCCTCCTCTCAAGGACCCATGATGTACAATGACCCACCATCCCGATGGAACAAGGATTGGTCGTGATACCATTTGTAAAACCACAAGCCCAAAGCAGCAAACTAGCCCAATAACCTCAAATTAAAATTAAAATCATAAAGACAGTTCTCGGTAACTTTCAACTTTGAAATTTGTAAAATGAAGAACTCGAAGGAAACTTCAACGGAGGTTTCGATTCAACGAACTCGACGATTCAATGGCAAATGAACCTTCAACAAATCAACCAAATGAACTCCAAGAATTCATAAAAGGTGGGTTTTGATTTCAAAACAACCCATCAACATAACCAATTCAAAGCTTATGGAGACGGAAAATCTAGGGTTTCGATTTGATTTCCAAAAAGCAAAATGCAAGAATGGGTTTGTATAAAATTTGTTTAGGGTTTTGATTTTCTTGATTTTTAAGATATGATGCTTTGAGTTTTTATGTATCACAAAGCTCATAAATTTATTTATACAATATTTGGTTCACTTTTAATTTTGTGTTTTTATTTGGATTTAGATTCTTATTTAGGATTTATTTGGGTCCATATTATGTTAGGTTTTTCTATTGTACGCAGAAGAAATCTCGGTTCGATTATGATCGGTTGTTCATGTTCATCTTGCACCGATTGATTAGGAAACTTTCATATAAATTTTGTTTTAGATGAAAGTTAGTTGATGATGTGGATATTATTTAATTCTATCTTTTTATTTTTCTACCGTATCATCTTAAGTTAATTAGCCTGAATATGTAATTAGACCTTTTAAATAAACAAAACTTTGTTCTAAACTTTTAAATAACGATTCTGAAAATTGGTTCTCTAAATAAATAAAAATTGGTTTATTTTAATGCAAAACTTTCAAAATAAAACTTGAAAACTATGAGTACAATACAAAATTTAATAGTAATTAATGGCATTAAATGAGATATGTCCTACAAAAGTTCCATGAAAACAAAATGTCAAAAGGGATGAGGTGTATTTGTTTTTTTTCTTCCTATAAAATGTAAATACAATTTATAGTTTTGAATAAATTATGGATTTGGTCCTTATAGTATGGTGGTTTTTATAAAAAATGGTCCCTGAATTTTATTTATTATAAATTAGTATACGTTGTATGTTATTTTGTAACGAATTGGCCCCTCCCTCTAACGGCCATGTATTTCATCCGTTAACCTTGAGGACATTTTCGTTCTTTTTTTTTTTTTGTCTTTACTCGGGGGAGCAATTTCGTAAAAAATCATACAAACCACAAGAACCATATCCGTAAATAAGTTTTTAAAAAATAAAAAATATTAAATGTTTTATACTTCAAATTTATTAAATTAATTAATAATATATATTAATTATTATACTTTAAGCTTTATTTTAGTATGCAATATATTTTCTTTTAAAAAAAATATTTTACATACGTTTACACACATACACACACACATATATATATATATATATATATATAAATATTAAGGTTAACATAAAATTACAAGATTAATTAATTTAACGGATATGATTAAATTAACGTTTACAATAATATTTTTTTAATTAAAAAAACTCATCCTCCACCTATTTTTATTTTAAAAAAGACAAAATAAAAATAAAAATTGAGCAAAATAAATTACACAAAAAAAACAATCATATTTTTTTTCATTAGTTTGACATCCATATTGATATATTTTTTCATCAGTTCTTATCGTGATTTTCCAATTTTTTTTATTTATTTTTCATTGAGAGATAGAGTTGAGTTCAGGGGAAAACACTAAATAAATGAAAAACCGGAAAGTCATGAAAAAAGGATGAAAAAATATATCAATATGCTGTAATTAATTTCCCACGACTTTAATTTATTTTTCATTTTTTTCGAATAAAAGTTAGGGTTTGTGAGATTTTTTTATTGTTATAAACGTTCATTTAATCACAACCATTGAATTAATTAATCTAATGGTTAATGGATGTAGGTTTTTCATAAAAGGCTGAACCTCACTATGTAAACATGTGTGTGTGCATGTGTGTATACGTACATTAATACATATTCCATTTTAAAAGATAATATATTATATATTAAAATTAAACTTAAAGTATAACAATTAATTAATATATTTTAAATTATAATAATTAATCAATCTAATAAAATCAAAGTAAAAAAAATTTATAAATGTTTTTATTTTTTGGATTTAATTACGGATTTGGTCTCTTTAGTTTGTGTGGTCTTTACAAAATTGGTCCTTTGATTAAAGACAAAAAAGAAAAAAAAGAAAAATGCCCTTAAAGTTGAAAGAGGAACTGGATGACCGTTAAAGGGAGAGACCAATTCGTTATAAAATAACATACAACGAGTCCTAATCCATAATAAATAAAGTTCATAGACCTTTTTCGTAAAAACCACTAAACTAAACCACAAGGGTGGTGTCTAATTGGTTTGAGCTTGACTCCAAAGATCAAAAGTACCAGGAGGTCCCAGGTTCAAATCCAAGGAGAAATAAAAATCCCCTTGTGGCCACGGAGGTTCAAATGCGGTAACTCCAGGCTATATGCAAAGCAGGTAATCGCCTTGGAATTAGTCGGCTCACATAGCGAGTTGGATATCCAAGTTAATCTAAAAAAACCCACTAAACTATAACAACCAAATCCATAATTTACTCCAAAGTTTTTATTGGTTGTTCAAAAGTTATAGTACATAAATATCAATAATTTAATATCAAGATTCCCAACTTTGCTATAAATGAGCATTTAAATTATATACATGGAAGTTTGAAAAGCTAAATTGCAAAAAAAAGGTAAAAGCTCAAGTGCCAAAGTGTAAAAAATAAACACAAATAAAGCTTGGCCAATTGGCAAAATTGTTAGAGGATATTATTTTAATTTTTTTTAAGATACGAGAATAATTTGCTCTAACAGCTATACTGAACTCTATAGTTAAAAAAGACTTGTATATTTTTTTTTTTGCTATTTTCTTTTGCTCACTTTAGTTTGACTGATAACTTTTAATTGGGTTTTGCGTGGGATCGAGAAAGGTTATATACTTGATGACAATAATGATGATAATAGTTGGTTTATAGGTTGAATCATAATATTTACACACATAGATAGTTGGTGGTTGAGCCATCAACGCCAGGAACCCCACGAGTTTTGACTTGTGAAATCGATAAAGATGTGAACGCATTGACTATTCAATTGGTGTATATGTTGTGTAGTAAAGTTAGTAGTAACTTGATATGGTAGCATTGTAGTTTATATTGTGAAATATCAATCAAAAAGCAATGACCTGTTAATATGAAAAAACTTGTCATGAAGGTCAAGCATTGTTACAGTAAGGTCATTATGGTCATTATAGTGTTATAGTTGATAAATCTATATGTATAAGTCTAATCCATAGGTTAATATTTTTAGCTCATGGTTTGATAAATTATGGAGTAAATTACTTTTTGGTTCATGTGTTTTTTCAATTTTTTGCGGTTCTCGTACTTGCAGCTTAGTTATCGTGGTTTGTAAAAACGCTCGAAATTGGCCCCTTCCTCTAAAGGTTGTAAACTTTTATCTGTTAAAGCACGAAAAAATGAAAAACCAAATTGACCAAAAATATAATTTATGCTAAACTGTAAAAAAGTTCATTGGAATAAAAAGGTGTTTGTTTAAGCTATAAGATCATTCTTTTCAAATTTTACAGTGCCATAATCGACCTTTGACCTTCAAAGTTTAATATAAAAATCCCTATATGTTATAGAATAATCGAAAGAAAACAATAATAGAATTGAGAGAATGAGTTTTGTATTTCTCATTAATCATAGACCTTTTTATAGGGATGAGTTACAAGTAG